CTCAAAAACTTAAAAACAGAACTGTCATATGGTCCTGCTATATTATTCTTAGACATATATCAAAATATGACTGCATACAATAGAGATACTGGCACACCCATGTTTATAGCAGCAATATATATATACACACATATATCTATACACACACATATATAAACATATATATATCAGCAATATATATAATATACAATATACGTATGTATATACATACACACAATGGTGTATTTTTTCAGCCATAAAGAATGAAATTGTGTTGTTTGCTGGAAAATGGATGGGACTGCATCATGTTAAGTGAAAAAGGCCAGACTGAGAAAGATGAATATCCCATGTTCTCTCTCAAATGCAGAATCTAGACCTTAAAAAAAATGACACAGGTGTAAAACAGGGCAGGGGACTATTTGAGGGTGGGAACCAGCTGGATGGGGGAGGGTGACAGGGTGATGAGGAGTGAATATGATCTAAGTAATTCAAATGCATGTACAAAAATAGAGTAATGAAACCCATTAAAATTATTTAAAGAAGTGGGAAGGGAAGATAAGAAGTAATAGAGGGGGGTGAATCTGATCAAAATATACTATATGTATACTATATGCTAATAAAAAAAGAGAAAAAAAGGAGTGGTCTTTGAGGGGTGAAAATTAAGGTAAGAGTTTCAAGGAGGGGATCAAAGGAAAAAATGAATAAAGATCTGACTTCTACATTTGTGTTGATCTTTCTTGGAAGTAGCCTACAAACCACAGGCTGTATCTCCGTTTCATGGAATGGAGTGACCCCAGTTATTAAAGTGTTTCAAAGACCACAGTAAAGGCTACTTATGTGTCTCTCCCTCTCCTCTCTCTCTTTCTTTCTCTCTCTCTCTCTCTCTCTCTTCTACCCTGTCTCTTCGCAGGAGAAAGAAAATCTGTCAATCTTTCTTCCTAAGTAACATATGTTTTCTTTAATGCTCTCTTTCAACACCCCCCCCCACTCCAACAAACTGGCTAGCTTCCCTAAGCCTTTGGGACACAAGGGATAGGTTGAAATGCTTACGAATAATAACAAGGATGTCCAGAAGGAATGCTGTATTTGAGGATAATGCTAAAATTCCAGCTCTCTGATCTGTAAACTTCCAGAAACTCCCTATCTTTTGTGTTTGCTCTAATCAACAACACATGAGACCAGGGTCCAATGAGTTATTGCTTCCTGGTAATACTAAATCAATACTAAATATAGAACATAAGCCTATTTGGGCTTAAGGATCAGGAATGTTTGAAAATAAGCCTTTGTGTTAAATTGTCTAAATAACCGGAGAGGAAAGTGACAGCAGTCCTCATGACTGTTTTAGTTCCAAGTTACAAAAAGAACTCTAATGAAATCACCCTATTTTGTTGCCCCTTCTTAAAGAGTTAATTATTTAACAAACCTATAAAGACTGAATGGAAAGAAATGTGATCAATGTTTGGGTTACTGGAAAAACACTTAAAATTTATTTTTGTAATGTTATAATCTGAGTTAAGTCTTTTCAAATAAAATAGTGTCACTAATGTTATAAATACTAATTAACGCAAAATGTCATTTTGAGAATTAGAAAAAAAAGGTTTTCATGTGACATGATTCACCCCTGACTACATTCATTTTATTCTTTGTTTAGAAACTTCCATGCTGACTGGCCAACATAATTGAGTATCTGTTATTTTTACCAATAATTTCTTTTCAGACATACGGGCAGCTGTTGCTTGAAATTCCTAAATGAAAAAAATCATTCTCTAGTCAACGAGCCAAAAGCATCAGTCAATTTTTCTGGTAGTCTTAGACTTTATTCATACAAGGCCAAAACAAGTAATTGAAAAGCAGAAAGTTCAAGTGATGTTTTTTTTTTTTTTCAAATGATGTTTTCTTGTTTAAGAGAATTGACTACTTGTTAGACATAGTCATAATTGGGAGGCTAAGAGTCATCACACAACAGCTAAGGTCATAGTAATGCTCCAACACTAAAGTACACAGCCCCTTAATGTGTACTGGACTGAGCCACACTGGCCCTGGATATGGAGAAGCAGGTCTACCTGGAAACAATGGATAGTGTCGAACAATCTGTTACTTTTCAGAAATCAAGAGAAAGGGAAATGATTGACCGATTTCTATTGTTAATAATACATACAAAACAAAACCTTTTGATTTAACTGTTTTACAAATGTAATTGTGCCTGGTTTCTCAAAGACAATTCATATGCCACATTGAGATACGGTCTATATGGGCTTCACCACAAAAATCCTACAGAGTATATATGTTGAAAAGGCACCATGTCTCTTTTCATTAAAAAGTACTCTTCTGAAGCAGAGAAGCAGGCAAGCTTAACCCTACAGATGGACTGCTAAATTGGCACAAATTTTTGGATGGCAATTCTTATTAAAGCTTTAAATGTACATACCCTTGACTTAGGAGCTCCAATTCTAGAAATTTAGCCTAAGGAAACATTTGCATAAGAACATGAGGATGCATATGAGACTACATAGAACAATTCTAGTTCATTCACACACTGAAAAAATATGCAAAATCTAGATGTACCAAATGTGTTGAAATGAAAATCACAAGGTACAGAACTTAATGGCATTTTAATATTAACAGCATGAACCTATAAATGTTAAAACTATATATCTTATATCTTATACAGAATCATGTAAAAGGATACATATGTAATACTTCTGGAGATTAGACTCGTAGAGAAGGGAGAATTTTCACATTTTGCTTTATATACTTTGTATATTTTAATTTTGCACAATGATCGCATATTAGTTTTTTAAAATATGAACTAAAACCCACTCTTTTAAAGTCTGTAATTCATGATTTTTAGCATACTCATGAAGTCACGTGGCCTTCAACCACTAATTCCAGACATTCCATCACCCCTCAAAAAAACTCTATACCTATTGTCACTCATTCCCATGTCTCCGCAGTTCCTGGTAACCACTATCTACCTATCTGCATCTGTGGATTTGACTCTCTGATAATTTCATATAAATGGAGTCATATTGTATGTGACCTTTTGTGTCTGGTTTCTTGGCATAACATTTCCAATGTTTATCCCCAATGTAGCATATATCAGTAATTCATTCCTTTTTATGACTATATATTACTTTAATAAATAAAAAATCTAAAATTGATTGTAAGTTTAAAAATACTCAACCATCTTACTCTTCTGTACAAATCACTTTACTGAAACAAAGAAAGCCGAGTGCCAGTGGCTCACACCTGTAATCTTAGCTACTTGGGAGGCCGGAATCAGGACGATCAAGGTTTGAGGCTGGCCTGGGCAAACAGTTTATGAGATCCCATCTCTAAAATACCCAGAGCAAAATGGACTGGAGGCATGGTTCAAGTGGTAGAGTGCCTGTTTTGGAAGCTCAAAGCTTCCAGTTTGAACTGGAGTTCAAACTCCAGTTGCCCTTATTACAGCACTATTTACTTCTATCTTGCCACTCCTAACACTCTCTTAAATCCCACTTGAAAGGTTACCCCCTCAAACAGTATTTCATGCATATCTCTTTATTAGAAAATTATCATTTACATAGTAGACCCAGTTAGCTCTTTGCCAGGCCACCTTTTATTTTCCTTACCATCCACCAGCATCATAAAAGACACACTTATAGCCACAGAGATAATTTGGAAGTTTGTGATCTGCTGTCTCTTGTGTCTGTTTTATTTTTAAGACAGGTCTTGCTATGCAACCAGGGTAGCCTGGAACTCACTATGTAAGCCAGATTGGCCTCAGACTCAAGATCCTCCTGCCTCAGCCTCCCAGAGTGCTGGGCTTACAAGAATGTACCACTATACCAGGGCATCTGCTATCTTTTGAAAAGGACGTGGGTCTGTTTGACTCCAGTATACTGGCCACATGCAGTACATCGATACTACCTGCAGAATAATATTTTCAAATGCTACTAATATTTGCCTTATTATCTGAACAAGGCAAAGTTATATAACATTAGTCAATATATAAACTAGCACTTTAAACTAGCCCCTCTAGAACTGAAGACACTAGTTTTTTTTTTTTTTCTCTTAAAAATATGGACTGGCTATTTGGTGGTCATAGAATTTTCTTAAGGAAAAGTTTATGCTCTGTAATGACCTCAGCAATTGCTAGGGACTGCAGCTCAAAACAATAAACTAGCTGTCAATAGCTCTAACTCGCTAAATAAAACCATGTAACTCCCAATCGTCGTATTTTTAATTATGGTAATTTAAATGAGACTTAATAATGGATATGTATATGTGCCAGGCACTACTAGGTAGTATTTGCAGTAAAGCATGCTATTCTATGTTGCAGCATTAATCAGAACCTATTCCTTGATTTTTTCCCCTTTGAATAAGAATGCAGGCTAGGAATTTTGTATAGAATGAGCATATTCCACTAATTAAAACTTTGATTTCTGTCCTAGATGTGACCAACCTCAATACAGGAGCACGGTAGTAGCAGCAAGTTGTCCATGGAAATGAGAGTAACGTAAAGTCTATGAAGTGGAACCTCTGTATGACAAGGATATTAATCCCTTACCCTTTTACCCATCAGACGAACTGCACTAGGAGTTTGGGTGTGTTTATTTTCAAAATCGCCTTTTATCTAGGTTTCAGAGGACTTGATTTAAGCTGTAGGTATTGGAACGCTGTGCTAGAATAACCAAGATATAATACAATTCTATTATACTTAAAAGATTGCCATTTTTCTCTCGATAAAACCTTTATATTGTGAAACTTTAAACTGATTCAAATTCACTTTTTTCCTTCCATACCTCGCCTCCCCAACTGTTTTTTTAAGATAGATTTTTTTTGGTGTCTCAAGCATGCTAGGCAAGCACCTCCCACTGAGCTATATCCCTAACCCTTCTTCCATATTTATTTAATGACAAGTTATTAAACAAACTAGGCATTTTACCTCAAAGCAAAGCAATACTAAAAGGAATACAACACTATTGTTGTCATAAGATAAACTTCATTATACACTTTCACAAAAAAAGACATACAAATATGAAAGTCATAACTCATTTATTGAATGAATAGTATATGCAAGAATACCAATAAAAGGAAACTAATACTACAAACTACAGTTCTGAAAATAAAGCCAATATAACAAGAACAAAATATACATAACATGAGAGGAATGTTTGATTTTTGACCCATGATGCATTCCTTATCTTTACAATTAACTTAAATGTCTGTTAGAACAAAACTATGCCTTGGTCTAACCTTAGTGCTTTTTAAAAAAGCAACAACACTCTAGAATACTTTTTCTTTTTGCTTTGAGATATTTGAGATTCACACATTTGTTCAAGTACATAGATTCTGATTCGATAGTAGACCTATAGATCTTGTTATTCTGTTAATATCTCGAGTAGCATGTACTTCTGAGCAAGTACTATCTGAAATTCTAAAATTGTTCACCCTTGAAATAAAATTTGAGTTGTGGGTTTTTAATATATTGAGATGAAAGTAAAATTCACCCTCCCACCCCCCAAGGAACAAAGAGCTCTTATTAAAGTAAAGAAACTCAGGTCTATCTTTCTACTCTAAAGAACATTTCTTACTAACATTTCTGGTAAGGCAATAAATGCTCCAGAATAATCTTCAATATACGCTTGCAAAGGTTACACTGTTTAATATTAATAATAACAAAAGAAAACAAAAACAAAAAAGGAAAAGAAAGAAAAAAGGAAAGAAAAGACGCTTCAAAATTTCAGGCTAAAATATGCATGAAAGACAGTAATGGCAGTATTTTTGGAAATGATGTAAATGTCATATACTTATCAAATAACGTCATGCTTATTAAAACTACAGTTAAGGACTTAAGAGATGTACAGTAAATACACTGCTGAGGTCCATTTCTCTAACTATTAATAGCACAATGTAATTCTACCCAGAAGATGATGATGCTGCTTGGGAACATAAGTACTGTACAATTTTTACATTGTAAGGCACTTTTTACTCAGCATGTGATGAAAACATAGATAGAGAATGAGAATCAAAATATTGGAGGTTTACAACCAAAGGTGAACTTTCATGTGACTTCAATTTACATTTCAATTTTTAATGAAGGATTATTTAGCCAATCACACCACAGTGAGAAAAACAGGTAGTCAGCCACTTATCTAGCAAACCAAAAGGTAAAGTGCTATTCCGGTTGCTAGTGGCAGAGAAAGGGCTGAAGAAACCCATACAAAGTCATACATTTTATTACATAACAAATTCATCAACTGACAGCTATAATATTTTATTGACTGGCCATGATTACCCCTGGCACCTTCCATTTTTCCTAAAAAATTCATTACAGTAGTTGTCCAAAAATGAAGGAGCTCTGTTTCTTCATGGGTAAGTTCTATGGCACACAATGTAAAAGTGATTGAGACACAGTGATTTAAAGATTTAAAAAATAATGTTTTTCAAGCTGTTGTAAGGAAATAAAGTACAGATCCTTTGGGAAAAGTCACATAGCTTGGTAAACAAACATTTAGATCTGTCCTTGCACTTCAAGTCATGATGAATTTTGAAAATTAATTACATACACATGATGGCATATTAAGAGCAAAAAGAGAAGACATACAGGGCGATCGATCCACTACTAAAGCTAGTTTCCTTCTAAAAATAACAATAAAAGATAGTTAAAATAAAGCAAGCATCGAGTCCCTTGATTTAAGTAAATGTGTTAATACACACTCAACAAACATGATCTTAAGGGACTAGCAGTTAAAAAATTCATTCATTAAGCACAGTGTAATTTTCCACCTGTTACATTTAAAAAACGCTGTTCTGTCAGCTGCAGACGATCTCAATGTACAGTCAAGTTAATGTTATTTCTCACTTGCAAATCTGCTTTATTGTGGTAGGTTAACTAATAACTCAGAAATCAGATCCCTACCCTTTGTACTGAGGTGCTATGGTAATATTAGGCAGACCACAACTAAAGTTTTTTTTTTTTTGGCTTTGCAATAAAGAAATATGTAAATGTGCTTCAGCAGATAAGTGGAAGAAAATATCACTAGCTAGAAATGCCAGTGTGGAAATCCTTTCTAAAAAGCTGGGTTCTTAGGCTTTCATAAACAATTGTGATGATCAATAAAATAATACCAAGCCCTACCAGAAGAAAAGCAGGGCACAAAAGCCTATTTAATACATATAACCAAAGCAATGACTGAAAACATTGAAAATATTAAATAAAGTTTCTAAAATAGTGGTCACAAAATTAAAAATAAATACTGTTTTATGCAAAGACTGTTTTTTACTCCTACAGCACACACGCCCTCCTTACATACTTTGGGCCAATATGTGAAGTGTTCCACACAACAGGGCACTTGAGAGGAACAGGTTTCAGACATGGTGTCTTAAAGTCCTTAGCAAGTGGTAACCCCTTTAATCTGAAAGAGGTTTAATTTGCTGTTGCCAAATGTTAGTTTAAACTTGAAAGGATTCAATCATTTTGCCAGAAGCTCTTTGTATGACATGGAAAGAGAAGAGGTGTATTGTCAAGAGAATTTGGCATAAGCACTGGAGCTCATAGCTTATAATCACCAGATGCCCGAGTCCATGCTGGTCAGTGAGAACAACTTTAACAGGAACCAAAGAAAAGCTTCAGCACACTTCTTGGAAGAGACTTTTAGCATGTGCTGTCAAAGCCAAGATAGAAAGAAGGTCCTCTTCATTTCTAGCCTCCATCACTTGAGTGTGAAAAAACAATCCACAAATTATCATGTGTCGCCACCAGCGGCATGTTTGTATTGTAAAGTAAAATTTGCTTACGGTTTCCCTTGAGCATGAATCCACTAAACAAACTTAAACACTCTAAACAGTAGAACTTTGTTCAGTCCAGAAATATAGCTTACTTCATTTCAATGTCTGCTTTAACTGTTGACACTATACACAGGGTTAATAGTGTTTCAACTGCTTCCCAGAAACTGCAAACTACAGCTATGTAATATCAACATGTCAAGCTCAGCGTCTAGTGAAGGCTCATAAAATAAACGACGTTTTAGGCAGTTCAATGAAGGATCTAAGAGTTGGGCAGTAAAAAGTTACAAACCCTTTCTGATTTTAGAAAACAGTGAAAAAAGAATAGTAGTTATAGATGTCTTATTCATTCCCAGTTTTCTAACTCTGTCCCATGAACCTGTTTAAAAGATGATAAAAAAATGTAAAATATGATGCTTGAGGGGAATACAATCAACATAATGTTAGTGAGGAGTGAGAATATTTTACTGATTTGACACTATAACTATTGATAAAGTAGATAGTTTGTTTTTATGGTTACAAAATTGGCTAGTTAAGAAAAAAATCTATGCAAGCCTACATAATCTTTAGCATTCCAATAACATGCTCTTAACTAAACATAATAGGACTAAAAAACATCTTACTGCATATCATTACTTCATTATGTATTTATCAGTGTGTATTGTATCCTGACATCAAATCCCATATAATTAACTTTCATACCTAGTTTCCATTAAGTTGCTGCTGAGTTAGTTGTTGCTGATCAATTTCTACTTTTCCCCGGCTTTTACTCTCTCGTTCCTCATCTTCTTCATCTCTCTCATCATTTCCACTATGATTTTTACAATATAGTCTACAATGATGAAAGACAAAAATCTCAAAATCCTTTGCACTGTTGATAAGAATACATTTATGTCATCATTAGCTGGTGAAGTTGGTGCCCATAGAAAATATGGATTTCTTCATTCACACTTAAAAACACCCACAATTATAGGCCTCTTTCTATCTAAAAGCTAGGAAAGCACACTATTATTGAGATAAAAAAAGTTTATTTGAAATAAAACCTCCAGTTTAGGATGACAGTTATCATAAGGCAATTCCTTATTTTGTACCATGAGATTAAAAGCAAGATATATGGCCAACTAAAAAATATCAACTTTCAGATCTATAGATGCAATTATCAGTTTCTGTAAGTTTATTTAATATACACAATTTATAATTACATTTCAAGAACTACAGTCCATATACACTGCTACTTTCTGTTCATCTTTCATGAGACAATTTTAGTCAAACTCTTCAGATGCCTTTTCATTAAGTCGTGGCCTTCATGAATACCTTCATGAATCATCCAACAATGTCCCCACACTGTTTTTGCCTGCATCTCTCTTACTCTACTCTGGTCCTTCCAACTTCCTTTCAGCTTATGACACTGACTCCTTTTGGATGGAATCAGACCAAGTATCTTGTTGACTGTACCACACTGTGGGTCTGTCTAGTACTGTTTTATTTAGTTCTCTCTCACCTCATATTTCATATAAACTAGGGATAAAGTTGAAGGGTTTGGTGAGTTTCAGGTTCAACTTTGGTTTTTCATTCGGCACTTTAATAGATAATTCTGCATACTTCAGGAGGTTATGTAATTTCACAGTGTCCCACTATCAGTGATACTATGCTTGATGATTTGGTTAAGGTGGTGGTGTTAGCCATTATTTCTCCACTGTAAAGGTAGGTTAAAATTAGCAAGTAATCTCTGGAGTGATTCTTTGACATCATGCTATTCCAACAACCTTTTATTTGGGTATATACTCTGTATACGTGAAACTCACTAAGTTTTTAATAAAAATAATATAGGTGATAATCAGAGAAAGATGAGCTGATGTGAGCCCAGTTTTAGGTCAATTACAGAGTAGATGACAGTGGAATAGTTCTTTAAAATCTTCATTGGATGCCCTCTTGTGGTCAGTAATGAAAAAAGATTATATAGGAATTTATGTGTCACAAATGGATAATCTAAACTAGGTCTAACACTTGAATAGAATAAAAGGCAGGAATGGGGCTGGGGTACAGTAACAACTGACTTCAGTCTAGTTTTGCTCATGGTTTTTCCTTCAAGTCTTAAACATTTTCAAAGAGTTATAGGGAATTTATATACTTCAAATGCTGCATATTGAGAACTACCTCTTGCTTTTTTAATCATGAATTCAAATCTCAAGAGTGAGATTCTGATACAGTGCCACCTATGAAGTATCTTCCCAAAAATAAAACCTGAATCTAATAAAACCTTTGAATCAATTTCTAGTTTACAGGAAATGTGTGAAAGAGGGGTAGAGACCTAAACTATTAGCAGACAAGACAAGTCTATAATATGGGACTTTTACAGAACAACGTAATGGGTTCTTCAAGTACGGAGAAAAGGCGAGAGTGGGTTGAGGATTACTTCATATTAAGACAGACACAACAGAAGTATCAAATGGAGGAGATGAACCTTCTATGTATACAGATTTGAACACATCAAGTCTAGAAAGGTTTGTGTAAGACAATTGAGGAAATGCAGAAGTGGACTGGGTATGAGCTAATACTAAGAAATAACTTCATTTGTGATAATAGAATTGATCATGGAAGAAACACCAATACTTTGAAGAGATGCATACTGAAGTATGTAGGGATGAAATCACAACCTATCTGGGGTTCTGCTTTAACATACTTCAGGAAAAAAGAATAATGGATGGAACTGTAGTAATAATTTGGCAACTGCTGATAAGGGAATGTTATTTACAATTCTTCTGTCTCCACTTCCTGAGTATTGGGATTATAGACATGCACAACTAGGCTCGGCTTCCCTTGCCTTTTAAATTATGAATATATTCAACTCAGAAAGGAGTTGTAAGAAAGGAGATAGGAAAGCCGTTTTGTTCAGAAACATCCTTCCTTGAACTCAACAGTCTGTCTGAAACCCACATCACAAGCAGCTTTAAGACGCACATTTCAATGTGAAGAATAAAAAGAACAATTCAAGTCATCATGGATCCTACTGCATATATTTGTTTAGAGATGGCCACTGAAGCATGGCTTTCTAATGACTAAAAAGTAAAAACAATCTAAATAAAATAAAAACAAACATCTATCTATAACAATAGAATACTATACAATCATTAAAACAGATGTAAAATTGTTTAATGTCACAGAAAAGATGTCTCAGATATAGTGAGTGGAAAACAGATTATGAGAGTGTATAATCAAAAAGTCTTTGGTGGTACTGGGGTTTGAACTTGGGGCTGTGAGCTTGCTAGGCAGGCACTCTACCACTTGATCCAGGCCCTCGGCCTGAAAATGTTGTTTTATAAATATACACATATACGTAATCACACAACCGTCTGGGTGGTAGAATTAATGTTGACATTAACTTTTTTCTTATCTAATTTTCTACTTTTCCCCAAATGAAAATGGGTAAAAAATATCTAAATAAAGTTAAAATTTAAATGTAATAATTTCTTATGTAATTTAATTTCAGATGTTTAAAACAGGCTTATTATTTAAAAGTATTAATGGCTACTTAAATAATAATGTACTGGTCATAAAAAATAGTCAACACCACAGAATCATATAATGCACAACATAAAATCACCTCCTCCTCCATTCCCATGCAACTATTAAGTTTGCTGAATGTGTTTCTAGAGGTGTATATACGTAAAAACATATACACACATATGTGGAAAGACATCCCATGGAGCAGGGAGCAGAAAGATGGCTGGTAACCTGGGTCCCTGATGAGAATAACAAACTGCCTCTCAGATCTGACTCCTTTCCTCTGCTCATCTTCTCAGTTCACAAACAACTCGCTATCTTGTTTAAGCTGCTATTTTTGCCCAGCTTTATAATGTAAGCATAATGTAAGCATAATCATTACAAATAGAAAATTACACCATGTATATGCTTTTTTCCCCCAGTACTAGTGACTGAATTCAGGGCCTTGTGCTTGTTGGGCAAGTGCTCTACCACTGGAGCCATGTCAACAACCCTACTATGTTTACTCTTTGAGATAAAATTTCCAAAAAATTTGGATTTCATTAAAATTATACTAAATTTATGGATTAATTTGGTGAGAATAGGTGTCTTTCAATGCTGAGACATTCTATCAAAAACATATTTTGCTATTCATCTGAGTCCTTTGTAAAATGCAATTATTTTTAAAGATGGAAAAGGTTTACCTTGTGTGTGTGTGTGTGTGTGTGTGTGTGTGAGAGAGAGAGAGAGAGAAAGAGAGAAAGGAGAAAGGGGGATGGGCTAATGGGGAGAGGGGATAATGAACATTCTTCATTTACATTTTCTAATCAGTTATTACTGGAATTGTTTCTTTAAAGTCACTTCATATTCTACAACATTACTAAGCTTATTAATTTTGATATTCCTTTGGATTTTCTTGGTAGACTACTGTATCAATAACAAGTATTGATCATTTATTATACAGTTGTCTTTTTGTTTGGTGCAGGGGATGGAACCCAGGGCCTCTTGCATGCTAGACAAGTGCTCTACCACTGAGCTACACTCCAGCCCTTCTTTCTTTACTTGTTGGTAGTTGGTTCCCTGTTCTTGCTCCTAATCCAAGTTCTGTTAAGAGATGAACAGAAGAATCACCTGGAGGATCATCAAAATAAAGATTTAGGGCCTCAATGCAGACCTACTGAATTTAAATCTCTGTGGTAGGGCCCAGGCATGGACATTTTCAAAGACATCCCCATTTACCCCAGCAGATTCTGAGAAACAGCCCTGAATAAGGACTATTGATCCTTTACTTTAACACTAAATAAACTATTTGTTGCTTTCTCCTAAACTTTACCTTATTAAGATTTATAGCTTACCAGGATTACCCTTGTTAAGTGGGGGGAGTGGATTATGAGAAGCCTATGAGAACTTGTCATAAGCACAGTTGTGCTCAATGATCTACAGGCTGAGTTTGGCACAGCCCCATCCACAGAAGAAAGCAAGAGGCTGCTTTTCCAAAGTTGTTTATGTTCAGAGAAGTAGGAAGGCAGGTTTTCTCTTGCTACAATGTCACACCCCCTTCCAAGAACTGTTGCTCCACCTCCTTGTTTACCACTGGATATAAAAGACTCCCTGAAGAAGGATGTGAGGTTTTTTGATGGGGGATTGATGGAAAGTTTTTTGATGGGGATTTTTGATTGGCTGCCACGGATGCTGCTGCTGGATGTTGCGTCTCCACTAGAGCAGCTTTCTGCACCGAGACTTTAAGAAAGCTAAAGAGAACATGGGACAGTGCAAGTCTAAGGAAAGAGACTTTAAAGAATAGAAAAGAAGCAAGGTTTTAAAGAACTGTAAAGCAGTAAGGCCTTAAAGAACAGAGAAGAAGCAATGAGGGTGTTGTGCATCTCCATCGGAGTGCCCAGCACAACTGATCCCAACTTTATGCATGTCTATTGTTTGTCCTTTCTGCATCTCCAGTCACCCCCAGTTAGGTCAGGGGAGAACAAGAGAGCTCCTGAGAAAGCTCTCTACAGTTAAGTAACTTTAAAATTTGGAAATTGATGTTGAATGTTATCACACATCTTTTCACCATCCAACAGGAAGGTGATGATAGAATTTTTCTTTATTAATTACAAAAATAGATCACATTAACATGTTTTGAACATCTCTAAATTCTCATACTACATTTGATTTACTGATATTTTATTTCAATTTTTTTATATAAATTTTTATTAGGATATATGTACATACATTTATAAATGTGAGATTGGTCTACAGTTTGTTCTTTTAATGTACCTTTTTCAGGTTTTGTTATCAAAGTTATGCATGCTTTAGAGAATGAGTCAAGTTTCCCATCTCTTGCTATGTGCTAGACTTATCTGTTCCTTAAAGGCTTGACAGAACTCTCTTCAAAAATATTTGTGCATTTATTATTAAAAATTTGATTAATTTTATGATACAGTATTAGCACTCTATGCAGGCACCCAAATGACTTGATGACTGCTTGTGTAAACTGCTTTTTACACAGAATATTATAGCATGAAGTTATTGACTTATTGTATACTAGTCATGTGAGAATATGGAAGGGCTTCACAATTCTTGAAAGCAAATCAAAGTTCAGGGATTCCTATCAAATCATTCTCTATTTGCTTAAACAAAGGGAACCATGATAGACACACATTACACCATTAGCTTGAGGAAGCACAGGTAAAGTGGCAGATCCATTACAAAGAGAGTGACATGCAACCCCAAATGTCCACATCCTTCTCTCTTCTACTTTCCTTCTCCCTCTCCCTCTCTGTGTCACCCCTGGCCTCATACTGAGGCCTGAAGCCAGGGTCTTGCACATGCTAGGCAAGAACTCTACCATTTAGCTAGCACTCCAAGCCCTCAAATCACACTCTCTGATCATTCTGTCAAGCCAATCTTTTGGTGTCTATCTTTGCAACTACATGCTATTCTAAGTTAGCAGCAATTCTCACCTGAACAATCAGAAATAGCCTCTTCAATTCATCTCCTTATCTCCTTCTTCACCTCTGTCCCATCTGAGGGTCTTACTTGTCCTGTTCTCTCTGCCTACAACACTTCCACCCTGCTTACCTCTGTTCTTCCTATCTTCAAAACATTCTTTTTTTTTTTTTTGTGGTGTGACAGGGATTTGAAGTCAGGGCTTCACACTTGCAGAGCAGGTGCTCTACCACTTGAGCCACACCTCTAGCCCATTTTTGCTCTGTTTATTTTGGAGATGGCAGTCTCTCAAACTATTCGCTTGGGTGGCCTCAGATTGCAGTCCTCCCAATCTCAGCCTCCCAAATAGTTAGAATGACAGGCGTGGGCCACTGGTGCACGGCTCCTTCAGAAATTTTTTTTTTTTGGTGGGTCTTGAGTTTGAACTCAGGGCTTTGCACTTACAAAGCAGGTGCTCTACTGCTTGAGCCACATCTCCAGCCCTACTTTGGAAAATTCTTTAATACTCTCTATTATAGACTAGATTAGCTTTTTCTTCTTATACGCATTCATAGCACTTTGTAGCTTCTTTAGAGTGTTTAAGTACTTCATAATCATGCATCTACTTCTCTGGCCATTTAATGAACAGGTCTCTCCCAACAGACTGTAAACTTCCTGAGAACACAGTCTGTGTCTGTTTTGATCTCTATGTATGCCCAGCTCCTAGCACAATGCCTAACACAGAGTAAGTGTAATACTGAGTGAATGAATGCTGATCCAGGCGTATGTAATCAGAGGAAAATGCCAATTGCAGCTGTCATTCCTTACTTAATAGCCTCAGCATTCTCAACTAAACACCACCGAAGAATAGAGATTAAGTAAACTAGCTTCATCTATTTAAGGGCCATTAATTACTGTCATGTTTAGGAAAATGGACAAAGACTGTGTTCTTACTTGTAAATTCCTCGTGACATATTCTCAATGTATTTAGCTTTGTCTTGTACTCCACAGTGGTAATGGTAGGTTTTAACACAGGCTTTGATTTCACATCCAATAGTAGCACCAGGCTGACTGCAAAGTGTACATTTCTGTAAAGAAAGAAAGAATAATCATAAGCCCTATTTCAAAGTTTAGGCAATCTTATTTGTTCTACTTTAGTAACATTTCAGCCAAAACGCTCTAGTTTATAAAGAAAACAAAGGCCATTTTATAATGAAAAAAGTACACCAATACGCCAAACTTACTATATAGCGCATAATTAAAACTGTACTAACCATAAGAGACCTGACATCTAAATATAGACAAGACACTCCTTGATACTGCCAAACACAAACACAATATTGTATATTGCAGTGGTCTAACTTCTTTTCCTACCAGGGATCATATCCTTCCTTATTATGATTGGCGGAAAGAATGAGAAAACAGGAAAGCAAACTTCCCCACAGAGGACTCACTACCAAGTAGGCAAAAGGGCAACAGGGAGACTAAAGGAGCTGAAATCTTTTCAAGACTTCTCAGTTTGGCCGAGAAGAGCCTCACCTAAAGAGTGTTCTGAGACTAAAAGGTGCCTGTTGAAAACAAGGGTTTCATAGTCAAATAAGTTTATACAACAGTGGGTTAAGTAGATTGCCTTATTATAGAGCTTCTCATAGCCTTTTCTCCAAGAAGGGGTATAGAGTAAATGGTTTTGCAGTTTAGATGTCCTTTTATTTTTGGAGTGCTGGAGGTGTGCCCTGATGGACTAACTTGCTTTGGCACACACATGGAGAAAATGCTAGATGAGCATTTATCCTACCCTTTAACAGAGGTAAACAATAAGATAAGCATGAGAGCTGAATCGCCATCCTACTCACCTATTTGAACTTAAGTTAATATGACACAACATTGCTGCATGATAGATAAAGTGACCCCTCTCTTTTTTAGTGTAATCAAAGTATCGACAAACTGAACTGGATCTAAATAACAATTTTCATACTTAAAATAGGAAGTTTCACAAAGAAAGGGCCATGTCTAGCGGCGTCAGACAAAGACCATAAATGTCTGAAATCATTACATTAAAGACTGACAGGGAACTTCCCAGTAGAGGAATCACACTCACCACTTGAATCCAAAGATCAGCCATTATGATCTATATGATATGACAGAGTAGGGAAGATGATACAGTCCTACCTGTGAAGGATTCTTACCCCTCTCAAAGTTGAAACTGTATCTAATCAAGCCTTTACATATAATTCCCACTTTGAATAGAAATATGGAGGATAGAGACACAAGTTAAGTTGGCCCACAAAAAAACAAACAAAGAATTAGGACATTCTACAGGACAATTCATTCATTTTCTTTACCAAATCCATAACATACAAAACTATAAAACAACAAAGAGAGAGAAGAGGGATTACCCTGTATTACTTAAGGGATATAAAGAAACAAATGTAACAGGTGGTCCTCCGTTGGAGTCCAATTCACATAAATCAACCTTACAGAGAGTTTTCAGACAGTTTGGGAAATAGGAATGTGAACTGGATGTTACATGACACTGAGGAATTAACTGCTAATTTTTAAGTTATAATAACATTGTGGTCAGGTAAGAAAATGTCAGATTAAGAAATATATCCTGGATAGGCATGGTGGTGCACACCTGTAATCCCAGCTATTTGGAAGGCTGAAGCAGGAAGACTGTAAGTTGAAGGTCAGGCTGGGCAACAGAGTGAGACCCTGCCTCAAAATAAATAAAAATTAAAATAATATTAAACCACGCATACTGGTAAACATCTGTAGTAGTCCTACCTACTTCAGAGGCCGAAGTGGGAAGATTGTTTGAGCTCAGGCAACATAGTCAGACCCCATATCAAAATTTAAAAAAAGAAGGAGAGGGACTGGAGCAATGGCTTCAGTAGTAGAGAACTTGCCTAGCAAGCTCCAGGTCCAATCCCCAAACCACAAAAGAAAAAAAAAAGGAAAGAAAAAGCAAGAATGAAAAAGAAAAGCATACTAGAATTAGAGAGTATGGGGTTGGATGCAGCTCAGCAGCAGCAGAGCACCTGACTAACAAGTGTACGGTCTTGGGTTCAATGCTTAGCACCACACACTCACACATAAAGCTGTACACTTGACTATGGAGAGGTAAAAAGATAGAAGGTCTGAGCTCTGCTTTAAAACACTTTAATCAACAAGTGATTAAAGGCACAGATGAAACAAGAGCTGAAAGTTCCTGATAACTACAAAATCAAGGTAATGGATAGATGTGTTGATGGTCATTCTAATTTAATATGTTTGAAATTTTTCACAAAAAAGTTGAAAAGATAAATGTTATTTGAGATAACTGCTATCGTAAAGAAACGACTTTGCATTTCATTGACATTCCATATTCATACGCTGAAGATGTCAATACTTCTCAAAGCTACTTCTTAGTAATTCAATATGTTTAAAAACATGAAACTAAAGGCTGGGTGTGGTAGCCCATGTCAGTAATCCCAGCTAATCTTGAAGACTGAAGTTCAAGGCTAGCACAGGCAAAAAAGTTAACAAGATTCCATCTCAATAAACAATCTGAGCATGATGGTATACTCTGTAATCCCAGCTACTAGGAGGCACTGGTGATCTGAATCTGGCCCTAGGCAAAAATTCAAAATCCTATTCAAAAAATAAAGCAAAAAGATCCTGGGGGTCTGTGTGTGGCTAAAGTGGTAGAGTGCCTGCCTAGCAAGTGCAAGGCCCTGAGTTTGAGCTCTTGTACCCTCTCCCAAAAGAACCCACTAGATTAAAGCACATTCTATAAATGAAACTTTAAAGTGATGATAAACATTTTAACAGTTATAACTGTTTATGTGTTCTTTAAACATAAGCTCCTTAAAAAGTTTTCCTTTTACTAAAAAAAAAAAAAAATAAGAGTAAATAATATGGGGAGGTCCTCAATGGTATATTAGACTTATGAAATTTTTCTTTAAGCAAGCTGATACAACATAACATTTTAAACTTTATAAGAAGCACTGGAGGTGTGGATCAAGTGGTAGAGTGCCTGCCTAGCAAGCACAAAGCCCTGAGTTCAAACCCCAGTACTGCAAAAAAAAAAAAAAAAAGAAATGACATTTCATAGAAAGAAAGATAAGTTTCAATAATATCAGCATCTTTTATCGTATTACAAATGTATACTTGGCTTTAACATATGAACTACTTTATATTATTTCTTATGACTGAATAAATTTGAGATGTGCTCTAAATTTCAAGCAGAGAATCAAGAATAAAAACCACAGACCATCCTTTTTTCCTCGCTTAATCTCCTGAAGGACAGTTTTAATATCGAAATCTCCAAACTCTGCTCTCGATGTTGTTGTGAGCTGGACAGTGCCAGAAGAGAACAACTAGAGAAGAAAGATGCAGGAGTATTATCATTCATTGTCCTCACAAGAAAAAGATTCAACAAGATAATAACAAATGTGTTATATCACTGTAATCCAGGGCAAAACCTGATTTTTTCATTAATAATCAAATACTAACTCAAATATTTTAATATATTATCTTGTTACAATACAACCCCAAATAAGGCCACTTTAAAAAAAACCTAAGATTGCCAATGGGAGCTATGTTTAAATACCCTGCTTTAAACAATGAAGATTTCAACGATATCACCTTGTTCTATTTTACATTTACACCAAGTTTTTAAAAATAGTTTAAATTGCCAAATTTCAACTAGTGATGCAGATCAGAAACACCTGTGGGTTTTCGTTTTAAAAACAGACATGTCTAGTATCTATTCCACAGGGGTCCTAGGTACACTTTTTTAGGGAAAAAAAACAAAGGTAAATCTGGTATGTACTTTAGTCAAGAGCTTCTTATATAAATAATATAATTTTAAAACCTAATTATGAATGGGTTGAATAATTCAATACTGTATAACTCAAAAACTGTACTGTAAGTCAGGTCTGGATCTAAGGAGGAAAAGATAAACACTTAGCTTCATCTTATTCTATCTTCAAGGAATTTAAGTCTATTAAAGAAGATAATTCATAAATAAAAACTTAAAATACAATGTGTAAACTACAGTAACAGTGGTATTTATTAGGTTGTAGTGGAGGTCTAAAACATCTTTCATGACATTTATAAAGATGAAATTGTTATAGTTGTGAAATAATCATGGATTATCTTCAATATGGCAACTAAAATTAGTATTATTTCAAACCCTACTAAAATATAAGGGCAATATTTTTAAATCTAAAGTTTATTAATATTTGGGGTCATACAATGTTACTATTCATAAGCCTTAGTCACTAATGCTGCGGGGGTGACGTGCTATACTTGGTGCTGTACTTGGTTACTAACTAAATGATTTTCAAAATATTGAAAACACTTAGGCTTAAAAGCACATAAAAGAGCCATACTTACCATGCACTTATAATGTGCAGCTGCCTTCTTGGCATTAAATATATGCAATTTTCCTCTTGCTTCATTTTCTTCCTCCCCTACATGACAAAATCCACATTTAGGCCTGGTGTCACTAGGGCTACTTCTGTGTGGAGACCTATCTCTCTGCAAACATAAAAAAAAAAAGCTTAAAATGTTAGTATTCCATGCTTGTTTTACATTTCAAATGGTAAGCCTTACCTAAAAACACAGTTTCAATGAAATATTCATGTTGCAACAACTTTCTACTTACATAGGAACTACTTTCCATTTCATCTGTTCCATGGGAGGACGTGGACCTGGTGTCTTCAGACAACCCTTTAAAATTAGTTTTCCTTGGTCTTCCTTTGCGACTTTTCTTTTTACTTTTTGGGGATGAGGGCTCCAGTTCATGTTCATTAAAACTTTCTTCTAAATCAGCTGCATACAAATGAACAAAGATTCATATGAACCAATCTTAAAATGAGTATTCATGGGTCCTTAGGACATGTTTTCCTGTAGAATGAAATTGCCTCCAGAAATGCAGAGACATGGTTTGTGGTATTTTCAACATAGCACAGTCTAATGTTTCAGATAAATTCAACAAAAATCAAATACAAAAGAAGTTTTATTGTAATCACTGTAATCCTATTTCCTTGGAGTTTTTATTTCTATAAAAATGAGTTTTGTGATAAGTCTTTTCCAGGGGTGAAAACCAGTGGGAGGAGGGTGGGCATAAGGAAAGGGTGAATGAGGGTGAATATGGTGGATGCATTTTTTTATTTATATATGAAAATAGAATAGCTGGGCACCTGTGCCTCAGGCCTGTAATCCTAGCTATTCGGGAAGCAGAAATCAGGAGGATCTGGTTCAATGCCAGCCCTGGGCAAATAGTTCTTAAGACCTATCTCAAAAAAAATCCATCACAAAAAAGGGCTGGTGGAGTGGCTCAAGTGGTAGAGCACCTGCCTAGCAAGCACAAGGCACTGAGCCTGAGTTCAAACACCAGTAATTCCCCTCGCCCAAAGAAAATAGAATAATAAAACCTGTTGAAGTTGTTCTAAGAAGGGGGGAGGGGGAACAAGGGAGAATGATGGAGGGAGTGAATCTAACTAAGATATATTGTAAGCACATATGTAAATGTCACAATGTACCCTCCTGTACAACTATTATATGCTAACAAAAATGAGTTTTATGATCTTGATTTGTGGCTTTTGATGATTAATTATGAGCTATCTTCAATATGGTAACTTCAATATGGTTATAATAAGATAAAAACTTAAGTTTCTCAGTCACACTTAGCACATTTCAAGAGCTTACTAGCCACATGGGGCCAGTCGCAACAGCGTTAGCACAGATATGGACTGTCTCTATCACTGCAGAGGAGTTCTGTTGGACAGCATTTGTCTAGATAGCTCTTCAACCATCATGAAAACTGAAGGAACAAATTCAATAAGGAAGTCATCTGTAATTGAAGCAACCGACCAAGTAATTAGACAAATATTAAGTAAAAATGGAATTTCTAACACAAGTGATAGAAAAGCTGTGTCACAAGTTAGTCGTGTATACTTTAATGGAGCAAGCAAAAATCACATAGAAATTTCAGAGCTACATTTCCTAGCAGTTTGAAAAGAATTGTCTACCATTAACAGAAGGTATTTCATTCAGATGTTCACTATAAATATTTTATTTATTAAAAGCCTACTAAACAGAAGGTAATGCATTTAGTGTCCGCAAACACCAAATGTTCATGGTCTTAGGGTTAAACTAGAATGGTTTCAGACACAATCCTCTAATAACTTCATGGTTTTTCCTTTATCATAGTACTAATTATAATTTTAGGGACTAATTTCTCAATGAGAAAGCATACCAGCTCCTATTCTCAGATGTTAGTATCTTTCCTAAGCACATTCATTATGATAAGAAAAGGGTAACTCAAATAGTATTAGAACATATATAAACTCAGTGAAACTCCAAGTATTAGTTTACTTATAAAACGGTTAATAACAATTTACATGAGTACAGTTTCACATAGCTATGATATGAATGGAGGGAGCTAAGGGAAAGAGGTATAAGTTATTGGAATGTTTTACAGGAAACAAGACAAATTCATATTTAATAACTTCCTGTGAAGATAGGGAAGGCAACTAAAAATGTTTTGTAGCCTTAACACTACAGCAAATTTCATTATCAGAGCACACTACCTACTTTAAATATTCAAGCCAACAAATTTTAGCATATAGAATTTCATTAAAGCTGTTAGAATTACTTACACTTGCCAAAAACTAAAATTTCTTAAAATGAAAAGTCATAACCAAATGTTTTGATCATTCTGACATTTATATATGTGTATATATACATAAAGCCCTTCAGTTACATATGTGTATATAACATACCCAGTTATCTATAATGAAAACAAGTATCATTAGCACCATAACACTACATTATTAAACACCTAGAAGAAGCTACTTAAGAACTGATTTTATTATCAGGCCAACATGATTTGTTTTTCACATGGTGTAGTTGTCCAAAATATGGAATTATTCAGTAAAAAAAGTGTAGGAACTTTAATAGTAATAGTAAAATCACAAAAGATTCATGGATTTAACTATATTAGACTTTCAAATTTCTGGAAGGTAGAAAAAGTAGTAAGCTAAAAAGCAAACAACAAGTTGAAAAATATCTCCTATATCTATGATAAAGGATTAGTGTCCTTACATGATGTTTATCTATGATTATGACTCCAATAGATCAAGAAGGTATCAGAAAAGTCACAGAATATACAGTTAATAAACATACTTTAAGACTATTTAATTTCTCCAGAAAAAAATACAAACTATGTGATATGTCATTTTCACCTATCAAAATGGCAGATTTTTGTTACAAAACATAACAATAAACCCAACAAAAATGTGTTAGAAATGAAAGGACAAAAGTTGTCTCTAAATGTAGAGAAAGGTAATGACCAAAATCAGTATTAGAAAATTGGTTCTTGCTAACTTAATTTAATAAAATTCCAACAAAGTAAGTTGATTCTGGTTTTTGGGAAAAGTAAACAGACAAGAATGAAGAAGAACATCTTTTTATTTTTGAGATGGGGTCTCACTATGTTAACCCAGGCGGCCTTAGTCTCTCAAGTAGCTGGGATTATAGCTCCATACCACACTGCCCAGTTTAGTAGTATCTTTTCAAAAAAGATATAAAATATACTATAAAGTAACAGCATTTAAAATACTGGCATGAGTAGCCAGGCAGAGTGGTGTTTGCCTATAATCCCAGCACTCAGAAGGCCGAGGAAGGATGCTCACGAGTTGAAAGCCAGCCTGTGTGACATAGTGAGACCCTGTCTCAAAAAACCAAGGGCTAGGGATGCAGCTGAGTGGTAGAACACTAGCCTCACATGCATAAGGCCCTGGGTTCCATCTCCAGCACCGGAAAAAAAAAACTGGCATGAGGATAGACATATATCAGTGAAAGAGAAGAGCAAGTCTGAAAAGACTAATATGCATATGATAATGGTGGCATTTCAGATGAGTGGGGAGAAGAAATGATGTCACAATTGCCTACCCATTATTTTAAACAATGAAAAAATTACGAGATTAATTTTAAAATCTAATAATAAAATAAGCTATCAATACCACAGAAGAAAATAGAATTATTTAATATCAGCTTGAGATTAGGACACATAAGTGTCCATAAAGGTGAAGACTGTGAGATGCGACTAAAAATTAGTAACTTCTATATAGCAAAAGGCATTGCAAGGCAAGTTAAAAGACAAATAAATTGGCCTGGATGTGTAGCTCAGCAGTAGAGCTCTTGCCTAGCATGTGCGAGGCCCTGAGTTTAATCATCAGAGCTGAAAAAAAGAAAAGAAAAAATAATCAAATAAATTGGGTAATGACTTGCATATAGCAACAAAATTAACCCCTATATTAAAGAGAGTGCCTATAATTCAATTTTAAAAAGACAAACCCTCAAGAGAAAAATCACACAAAGTCTAGGAACGAGCAATTCACAGAAGAAATAAATGACTAAAAAATATGAACAGAAGCTCAGTCTTAGTGATAATAGAAATGAAAATTAAATGGAGATAATCAGATTGCCAAAAATTAAAGACTAATAATAAACCAGCCAGGTAAAGGCTATTTTTACCTGCTTACCCTTTACCCTACTATCTATAATGTAGTGTCTACACTGTGGACAGGAACACGAACTGGGTAAATGGTTTCAGAAGCAGTGTACTTATTCCCAATGTTAAAAGCATAGAACCTTTGATCAGAAAGCCCCATTTCTAGGACTTTATCCCATAGTCACTGTATTAAGTACATAACTATATTTGTTCAAGGAAGATTGTTGTAGTATTATTTGTAATAATGAAAGAAATAAACATAGCCTATTTTTTTGGTGGTAATGGGATTTGAACTCAGGGCCTTACACTTGCTAGGCAGGAGCTCTACCACTTGAGCCACTCCACTAGCCTGCCTATTTTTATTAATAGACAAATTCTTAAATAAGTTATGGCCCTAGTTATTCTATGGACCATAACTGTTAAAAAAATAGAGTAGATCTGCATGCTAACAAGGAAGGTCTGTGATATATCACAGAGAGAAAACAGTGAGTTGTATAATATTGTGTATACATAACACTGTTAGATTCAGAACAGGCGTGCAACTGCATATATATCTAAGTTTGCATATTAAAAAGATTTTGGAGAAATATATGTGTACCAGCTACTCCCAGAGAACATGATTTGAGGTAAGGAGAGAGCTTTTTGAACTATTTTAATTATATTTTTGTACTATTTAATGTTTTAAACAATGAGCAATGTGCCACTTTTGTAATTATAAGAATTTGTAATATTTAATGTGATGAAGAGGGGGGATGTTCATCCATCACTGATGAGAATATAACCTAGCATGATTTTTCTGGAAAGTAATAATAGGAATGTATACTAGGAAGCTTAAAAAGTTTATATCCTTTGGGTAACAGAGAGGGTGAATATGATTAAAGTATATTACATGCACACATGGAAATGTCATAATGAAGCCCATCACTTCGCACAATTAATATATGCTAATAACAAAGAAAATAAACATATTCTCAAAAATGTATGTACCCTTTGAGCCAGTGATTTCAGTTACAAGACTTTATCCTAAAAAGTAACTGAAAATGTGACTACAAAGCTAGTCACAGGACTTGTGTTTAATTTTTTCATGGTTGCAACCTATTGCTTTTTTCTCTTCAATTCAAAATTGTAAAAACTTAATATTTAAAAAATTTTTTATTATAAAAGAGCTAGCTGCATAAAAGAAGTAGAAATTCTCTGTTCTGCTTCCACCTGCTGTGTACATCCAGCAGGCCCCCTAGCCAGTCTCTGCCCTCCCTCCATGGGAATTAACCCCTGTTAACCACTTCCTTTCACAGCCTCAGACTCTACATAC